GCGCTTGTTAATTGATTTGTGGCTGACGACAGATAGAAGAGTATAAGCAGACAATTAATGAAAAATAAGGCTTTAAAAAAGGACGTGAGATTAAAGTCTATTATTACAGTTTAAACAAATCCGTCACTAATTTCTGATTCCTCAATCCACCGATTTATTTTTACCTTTAAAGCCAAATTCTGACTTTAATAAATGGCTTGTCGGGGATAAGGTTGTGCTTTTGGATATGTGCTAAATCGAATAATGTGAATTTCAAAAAAGTGCATCCGAGTTGTTTTTCATGGGTTCATAATTTCTGGTAGCTATTACCAACAATTGTGACCCCAAATGTACAAATACTGTCATGCATTGTAATAGATGTGAAAGCCAGTATGCATCCAGGACTGTCTTTAGATAAGGAAGGCCTGACATGACAGTGTTGGTTCATTTCTTGGTCAAGCAGATGTTACACAAAATCTGAACCTGTTGTGTAACTTTTAAACTTCCACCTTCAAAGCCCAGTGTTGAGCTTTAAATATTGGTTTCTTAAATATTATTTAAATGAGGCTGTTTTTTGTTTCCGATGTAGATGGCATGGTTTCCGTATTTTCTCAAGTCGACTGCATTTACTCTGCCTCTTTGGAGCTTTTTTTCAAACTGTCATATCTCAGAAAAACCCCATTTCATTCTGTATATTAGAATTTCAACTACATGTAATTATGTTACTCCAAATGCAAGTATTTTAACAATGTTTTAGGGGGATAAAGCTTATTTGTAATCGGTGCGTAGCTGTCCGTGGTGCTGAAAAATGTCTGGCCTTCTTCCAACGACCACCACGTTGTATTTGAGTAATGATTTAAAAAAAAAAAAAAAGCTTCTTTAAAGATGTTACGATGAAATAATAAGATAAAAACCTGTAATAATATAATTTAATTAACCAAAAGAAAAACATGACAAAGCAACTTGGACTATTATTATTTTTTATCATCAACAACCATTTGAATGGTACACCTGGAAAACTATGTGCACATGTAGAAATATTTCCTTCTTAAATATAAGCATTCATTACCTACATATAAATAACTTTCAGATCCTGGACAAAACATGTTACATAATGCTCACAAAATGGAAGAGAACTCATTGTAAAATCAGACAAAGAGACAACATGCAAATGATATAGAAATAAATACAATGTTTGCATCCATTCCCTTTTTTTATACCCAAAATAAATTCTTCCTAGGGAATTTTGTAAAACATCAAAAAGACTTGTATGATCGATCTACGAGGGAGTATGGCCTATGGTTCAACTATAGGAGACAATAATACATATTAACACTATACAGTTTGAGCCACAAATACACTGCCGTAGAAAGACACACAAAACACACAGATTTCCTGTCAGAGGTGAACATTGCAGTAGTTTGTGCCTTTTTTTTGTCGAAGAAATAATTGTGTTTCATATCGATCATTTAAAGAAACCAAACTCTCAGCAGCCTTGGAAACAGAAAAAGCTGCAAAGAAACTGCATATTGTGTCCTGCAGAGATCAGAGAAGCGAAATGCATCAGCGCCCCGTTGGGTTTTAGTTGTGTCAGACTGAGGATTTGTGTGAGAGCATCCTCAGTCATGGGCATTAAACGTCTCTTTACCAAACAAAGCAGCTGTTGAACTCTGACATGTAACGCGACTTAACGAGGCTCCCTTTTGCTCACTGATGGCACGACGCGTTTCCAGTGCGTAGACGTCCGTGTTTGGCCAAAAATGTTTTCATCTTAGCAAATCACTTCATCCCGTTTTCAGACTTAAATGTGTCCTTTGTTTCCTAAAACAGCAGGAGCGTTTTGGATTTGGATGAGACTTATTTTACGCATGGAGAATCTCATCAGAAGTGTCATTTTGTTGATACTAGTACAGGATTTCAGTCTTTAGAAGTGACCGGAAACAAGTGGACACATTTCACCCTAATCTCACGTTAAAGAAACAAAGACGGTGTTATAATCAGACAACATGAATTGTCAAGATGGATATTTTCACAGCAAAAGTGTCAACTGACCACACGAAACGGCGCAAGGCATAAAAATAAAATAACATAGTTGTCATCTTCTTTTTAACTGCTTTTTATTGTCCTTAAAGTCTGTCATGGGCAATATATTTTCAGTCTCCGGATGATGAGGATGAGGAAACGTTTTGTGTCTGCCTCACTAGAACATGCTGGTCTTTACTAATGTAGCTTTGGCTCCGTTCTGTCTTTGCAAAGACGACAGTACGCTGGCGAACGGGCCGCCCAAAGAGTCCGGGATAGAGGTGATGGGGCCCGGGTTGGTGGCCCAGCCTTGGCTCGCTGCGGTCACCCCCATCCCGCCGGACATGGAGGTCTTCACCTGGTCCACCTGCCCGTTCCCGGTGTTGTTGACCTGTCCTCCGGTGGGGCTCGGGCCGCCGCAGTTGGAGCTGGTGATTGGGTTCGGGCCCGGTCCTCCTGTGCTATCGGGGTCGGTGGATTTGTTGTCTTTACAGTCTTCATCTCTGGAGTCGGACTTCTTCCCGGAGTTGGCCTTGGCAGCCGCTACGGCCGTCGCAGCTGCGCGCTCCATCTTGCGAAACTTGGCACGCCGGTTCTGGAACCAAACCTGGGAAATTAAGAAACGGTGCAAAAAAAACGTTAAACCACAGGGAAGTATTGAATGGTGACAAAAACCTAGATCAATCAATACTAATCTAAATCTATTGATTATTGTTCGGGCTCAATTTTAGAATGTACACGAGCAGCAAGTCTCAAAGGCAGCTCTAAATCAGTGTGCTGATAAAAAAATTCTGATGTGTCCCTGAAGACAAACCCCATCTTTTTTTTGTGCATTAATGCACGAGTGTGTGTAATATGGTGCTAGTGGCTGATCATATCAAAGTATTAAAGCTTTAATTTCACTAAAATATTTTAAAAGTTAACATTTAGATATTTTTGTTTTTGTCATTTGCATCATAAATCCATCCGTTCGTAATCGTGCGTAATGGCAGCAGGTTGCTGTCTGTTGGAGAGCCGGTGTGTGTACCTGAACTCTGGCTTCAGTCAGATCGATTTTCAGTGCCAGCTCCTCTCTGGTGTAGATGTCCGGGTAGTGAGTTTCCGCAAAAACCCTCTCCAGCTCCTTCAGCTGCGCGCTGGTGAAGGTGGTCCGGATGCGCCTCTGCTTCCGCTTCTCGTTCAGCCCACCGTGATCCGTGAACAGTTTGTAGGGAACTGTAAACCAAATTAAAATGTCACCGTTAGATGTGCAGTGGTGTTATCAGTGCAGTGTGAGACATGTGGAGTGTTGTCAGGTGGAAGTAAATTCGATATTTTGTATAAAATCCGGTTATGTGTGCCGGGCTACACTTATTGTATTATGCTTTTGATTACCTGTGAATTAGTTCTGAATTGATATCGTTGCTGACCCGTGATGCGGTTAATTGTGATGTTAAACTAATTGTTGCTCCACAGATTGAGGCTCAAGTTTGAAAAGTTGTCATAATGTTCCCATCCTCCCCGCTTGTTGCTACTGTAACTCCAATTCGGTGTCAATAATGAGCTTTAGTCTTTGGTTATCTAATTATTTTCGAAGCTTTATGTCTCATCGCAAAGTAAATAAATTATGCCTATCATTTTGGCAGCTTAAGATAATTCTGTTGGCGGTTTTGGGTGTGACTGGGATAGTATAACCCCGTAACCGAATTACCCCTTGCCTGCAATCGCTTCTAACGTGATAAATTCTTTCATTTGTGTAAGCAAATTTCGTTTGGTAAATACTAAACACATTTCCATTTTCAAATGCAATCAAGGCGTCCTATAATACGCCGGGTTGAGGCTCCGGAGCCGCTGCTTACCTGCAGCGTACGGGCTGCTCTGGTGGTCCCGCAGCGTCCCCAGGCTGCACGAGCCCGGCGTGAGGGACGGACAGCCGGAGGTGGCCCCGAAAGTGGTCCTGATGGGATTGTACTGAAACCCACTGGCTTGACTGCACGAGCTGAAGTCCGCATAGGCCGATGCCAAGCTCGTCGTGTCCATCCCGGCCATACATGACTCGTAGGCAGAGGAATTTAGGTAAGAATACTCCATTTTATACATTTGTGAAGGCTCGGTAGAGAAAGAAAGCTGCACTTCCCGTGAAAAAAAAACACCGTCAAAGAAAAACTACCCCACAAACAAAGGGTTAGAAAGTATAAAAATAAACTCAAAATGAGGACGCGCGGTCTGAGTTTGGGGGACTTGTTTGGGTTTAACTGGTTGTAAGGAGGCTGGACGGTGTAGATGTGCACTGCTCAGCGCCTGCTCCAAAACTGGCCTCCTTTATAGGAACCTAGCCCTGTTTTATGAAAAGCCCCCTAAGAGCCGCCTAGCCCGAGGTCTCTAGAGCATATAGTCCTCATAATAAACTTGGCTCTTTCCGCTTGGACAATAGCAAAGCGTTTGGTCTTATTGCTAGCGCTTTTTTACATGACAATAACTCATCAGTCTATTGGGCTGGCACTGGGGGCCCGGGCTGTCCAACCTCCCTATCATTGATCCCCTGCATCTCTAATTAGAATTTAATACCACGCCATTACGCACCCCTCCACCGCCACCGCCGCACCCCCACCCCACCCCACTCCTCTCCAACCACCATCTTGCCCTTTAATTCAATCACACCACTTGGAAATAATGAAAGTTGGGTGACGATTCTCCCTGATCCAATTTTCTCCAAGCTTTTAAGCCTTTTAAGCGACCGTATACCTTGGGCAGGATTTCACAGAGTATTCCCCCTCTGCCTCTGCTCCCTGCCCGTCTGCTCCACGCTTTTCTCTCGGTCTCTGTCTCTGCACTATAAGCTGCAAAACATGCACAATTTAACAGGTATAACCACTGATTCTTTGTTTAGTTTGCACGGCTTTTTGAGCTTTAAAATCTAGTTTTCTGCACGAATAAAAGTATGCATCTTAAAGTTGAAATCCCATGTTTCAACCGGGACTGTTTTGACAATGTTTTTGCACAATTTAACAATAATGATTCTGCTTTGTTTCAGGACACGGGTTGCAAGAAAACAACTGCAACAAGCAAATGTGCTCTGAAGCAAATCATCGCATTTTTCATTTTTTCTTTTTTATAGAATAATATGAATTATTTTATGATTTTTTTTTCACAGTGTATGCACATGCACTAATCACGTCCATAACAACAGACTGTACCGCTTCCCCTTTTGTTTAATTTCTCTCTGTTTTATCACATTACAATGCATTATTGTGTACACATACATCGTTTTAGTTATTATTACAGACTTTTAAATCAGGCCTTTGCCATTTCTGGTTTTAAAGTTGAAGGCAATAAATGAAAGTTAGAAATGATCCCCATCATATTAAATTTACGCACAGTAATAAACGAATTTACCAGCTTCGGTTTAATAATGCCCTTTATGCCAAATAAACCACACACTTCCAACCCCTCCCTCTGCACGGCTGCAGTGTAATCTCTGCTAAACTTCCGGGTGTGTTTTTATGATTCAAATGAGTTTGTAATTGTCTTTATTACTTTCATTATTTCGTTTATTTGGCAAATAACATCTTTCTAATGAAAGTAACGAACTGGCGAGGCAGTCCTCGGACCTCTTAGGCTCACAATATTGGCTGAGTGCTTAATTTGGTTTGTGTAATAAGGTAAGCCGCTTTGTATGGCGTTTACACACTCGTGTGTGTTTTCGTTTTTTTTCTCATTGGACCGAGTTCAAGTCCTCGTTTGAAGCTGCGGGTTTTTTTCAACACAAATCGCACAACAGGAATTATGGAGCAACAATTACATTTAGCAGATGAGAGTTTGATGTCTGAATTTGTTCACCACTGCTCCTGTTTTAGTGATTGATCTGTGAGCAGACTGAAAATCACTATAATAATCCTATAATAGTGAACGTGTAGTGATTTTTATTTTATTACCGGACTGTAGCATCACCCGGACACTGGGTTTAGTTACCCATTGTCACAGGTTTTATTATATAGGATTATTATAGATTTCCTCAAGTTTTCCCTTTTTTTAATTTGACTTTATTTTTCACAATATTGATTTTATTTCATCATCTAAATTAAAGAAGACTGGGAAGATATTAAAGATTTGTTTGGACTAGGAGAGAATAAAATAGCTATTAACATACAGGTTCATATCTGAGGTAAAAAAAAAGAAAGGTTAAAATGTGGTTTTATTCAATATAGCCTATCTATTCCCTTTTAAATCTTAACTGTCTAAAAATAAAATGTGTACACGTGTCAGTCCCTCCAAAATTAGCAGAAACTATTTGCCTTTTTTAATATTGTCACCACAAACATTTAAAAAAACAAAACACTTTTATTTCAGATTTAAAGAAGAAAAGAAAAGGAGATTTAAGGCACCTTTTATAATTTGGTTCTGCTTCACCCTGCAAGGTGCAGCTCTTATATTCTCTGTTAAAATAGCCCCGGTCGCATTCGCCATCAATTACTTTCCCCCACAATTGCTGACGTGTTGCAGTTGTTTCTCGCTTTTCTCCGTTGTCTTCTCAGAGATCAACCAGCGCCAGAAAAGAAACACGTTAATTCTTTCTTGACACAACCCGGTGCCTATTATGTTAATGTTTTATTTTCTCCTTTCTTACACACGAGCTGGGACCCTAAAAGTTGTACCAAATGGTTAATTTGATTATTGAAACCAAAGAGCCAAATGGTGCACCGTCCTCCCTCCACGCGTCTGGTAGCGAGAAAAGCAACCATCTCTGGGAATTAATCTAATAACGCTCAAAGAAACGAGAAGTCTTTTCTGATATTTCGCCGAGACAAATACAATTACAGCTTTTAGCCATCAGTTTCTTTCACTGAAGCCGCTCTTTATTCCTGCTCTCCATAGTCCTCACACCATAGTCCACCAGCTATTGAGACGCCTTCTCTTTTATGGTTTCAACATCTTTTAATTCTTTCAGCTGGTCCTGGTGGGACGAGAGGCCACAGTTTGATGTTTGGATGTGAGAATATTAAGCTGGAAAGAAGGCAATTGATTTTATTGTTATAGCTTTTAAGAAGTAAAACCTCCACACGTTTTCCTGCAGGTTGTTTTGAGCCCCGTTTCCAAACAGCAGCCGTATGATTTACAGTAACATAATGATCCTTTAATGCAAGTAAAGCGGTGGTTAATTAGCAATTATGCGGCCAATAAAGGGCTCCAACCACAAGCCTTCACTTAAATAAATCAGCAAAATGCGATGTTTGCAAGACCCTAAATTCCCATGGCAAGTGGCGCACAATAGCCGGGATTTGGTAGCAACTCCTCTCCATTTAGTGCGCACTATCGTTGCTCAGCAATATAGGAATGCGGGTCGACAGGAGGGACAAAAAGAGGAACAAAATGCCATTGTCTCTGGATGGATTGGATGGATCCACTCCCCCGAAAAAGGCAAAGGAACAGAGGATAAAGAGAGATGGGAGGGTCCCGCTGTCACATCGCACCTACAATGTCTCACTCCTCCGCCCGAGGAAACCCTATATCAAAACGCTTATTAATAAGGCCGCGTGTTGCAGGGGAGGGGCTCGAGAGCAGATACAAAATTCATTTTGGGGATGCTCTCGTGGCAATTTAGGATGATGTCTCAATTTGGCAGCATGGATAAAAGGCGATATGTCACCTGCAAAAATGGGCGCAAAAAACCGAGATAAAAGTGTCTCCACTGTTTCATCTCCACAATAATCACATCTCCTTATTTTCCATTTGAGGTGGACGAATTACTCACATCTTGTTCTTAACTCAAAGAAATACCAAAGGATAGGAAAACCCTTTTACAAGTAATAGTCCTGTATTAAAAATGTTACTCAAGTAAAAGTACAAAATGATTGGCATCAAATTTAAATACCAAAAGTAAAATTACTCATTCTGCAAATTGTCCCATTTCAGAAAAATATATATATTTTATGTTTTTGATATAATTATTGATGCATCAATGTGTTTATCAAGCTGAAGATGGTGGAACTAATTTCAACTAATTGTGAATTTAATCCAGGTGTATCTAAAGCCTTATTTTGATCATATTGTTTATCATTAATCGAATCTTTGCTAAAGGTGCTACATAGTGGAGTAAAAGTAAACGATTTACCTCTGAACTATAGTGGAGTAGAAGTACAAATTAGCATAAAAGGGTAATACTTAAACACAATTTAGAAAATATACTTAGTTACACCACTGCAAACCCGTTATAATATGTCGTAATAAATCATAATCTCCCTTATATTGTATTGTTCCTTTAAGCTGCATTGATTTTAAGATCTGAGGCTGCACATCAGAAAACACGTGGACATTAAAAGAGGGGAGTCAAAAAAGAAGTCAAACATGAGTCGGTGCGTAAAAAGCGCATCGCCTTTCCAAACGCACAGATGGAAAGTGACATCTGGAGAAGAGACAAAATTGAATTAGAAGCTGGTGTCTTCTCTCTGTGTGTCTGCACAAAAACCTGCAGCACAAAAGACTTCAGTGTGTCAGACTGCAGGCTCGTGTTGTTATTGTTATTTTTGACGTTTTTCTTATGCTTCTTTATTCTGTCTTTGGTGCAGATCTGAGGGCAGTGCGCACCTCTATTGTGGTCAAATGCATGGATTTAGTGAAGGTATACACCCCCCTCTTACTTGATGCAGCTGTATACATCTTCGTAGCTTATTATACATTCTAAAATAATTATATTTGGGCTCAATTAAGTGGAGGAAAAGTAGATTTATAACCAAAATAGACCTTTTATTTTGCCTTAAATACAGTATTATGATTATTTATAAGGAACAAGGTCAATATGTTTTTCTCATGTATTCAGGCTCTTGTGTGTGATGTTGTTTATCTTCCATAACTGTGTTCCAGATGCAGCTACTCTTTGTCATTGGACGTCTTTGGTGGGTGAACATTTTGAAGGCAGTAATAGTCAGGGGTCTAGAGGAACCTACGTCTCAATGAATGCCCGGTTAGTAACCCTATTTATAAATATAACTTATTATACATTCGAAAATAATGTTAGGCTATTTGGAGTCAATTGTGTTGAAATAAAGTGGGGGGAAAGCAGATGTTTAACCCCTATCGACCTTTTATTTAGCCTTATATGGAAATAGTATGATTATTTTCAGAGTCTGCACAAGTAAAAAAGGAAAATATGTTTTTCTCATGGATACTGTTTCTGGTTTTTGGTTTGTATCTCCCATTAACTGCATGCTCTGGTTGTTTCCAGATGATGCTCCTCTCCTCGTGGCCTCTCCGGACCTCTGAGACTTTATCTCCGCTTCCCAAGTGACCATCCAGTGGATTAACATAAAAATCTTATTCCGGGGGATGAGATTAGGAAACATATTACCCTCAAACGCGGCCTTGGCACGAGCGAGAGCCAGGCAAGGAATCAATTACTAAATTACTCCAACCTCTAAGTCGACATTAACGCAGAGAAATGCCATCGACCGCTTCTGAAATAAGATTTCGCAAAGATGTGATCATTAAATCTCTTGCCAGTGTTCAAGAATTTGATTCATAAAATCGTCTGAAATGAGATGGAATTAAATTCTTATCGGAGCTCTTGTCATCGTTTCAGCCCGTGCTGCTTAACGCTGGTCAATGGCCTTCATGAGATTTTCCCTGTAAATAAACTTAGTAATTGAATCCTGCTCTCCGCGACACATTGTTTGCTTGTTATTCATTTAAGGCAGCGGACGGATGGGGCGAGCAGGAGTTTGGATATCACTGCTTTAAATGTTTAAATATCCAAAACAACGTTGCGTTTTTAGTAAGAAGTAATGGTAGAAAGTAACTAAGTACATTTACTCAAGTACTGTAATTTTGAGGTACTTATTGTATGTTACTTTGTACTTCACAATAATTCAGAGGTTAGTGTTGTACTTTAACTTCACTATACATTTATGTAACTTTGCAGATATAGATTAACGATATGAAATAAGATCAACACTTAAGACTTTAGTCACACCTTGATTAATAAATTACATTAATTTAGCAGTAAATTAAGTCATTAAAACTAGCTGCACCTTTACCAGCTTTGATGACACTTTAATGCATCAATAACTATAATCAAAACATATCATATTATTCTGAAACGGGCCAATCTGCATATTGAGTACTTTTGGTACTTTAAGTATATTTAGACGCTAATACTTTTGTACTTTTACTTGAGTAACATTTTGAATACGGACTTGTAAGAGTAATCATACACTCTTAGGTATTTCTTCTTTTACTTAAGTACAAGATCTGAGTACTTCTCCCACCAGTAACAAGANAAATCGAATAATGTGAATTTTTCAAGAGTGTTGCCAAAAAATTGCACCCAAGTTGTTTTTCAGGTCACAATTGTTGGTAATACCAGAAATTATGAACCCATGAAAAACAACTTGGGTGCAATTTTTTGGCAACACTCTTGAAAAATTCACATTATTCGATTTAGCACATATCCAAAAGCCCAACCTTATCCCCTATAAGCCATTTATACAAAATCAGAATCTGGATTTAAGGTAAAAATAAATCGGTGAATTGAGGAATCAGAAATTACTGACGGATTTGTTTAAACTGTAATAATAGACTTTTTTAAAGCCTTATTTTTCATTAATTGTCTGCTTATACTCTTCTATCTGTCGTCAGCCACAAATCAATTAACAAGCGCTGCAGTAAAAACGCATGGAAACGTATTTTCTAAAATTATTTAGCAAAGCAAAATGATTGGTTTCCTGTTTCACTTCTTTGACGCAATTGAATCTAAACCACGTTAAATCTTTGAGGCGGTGCATTAAAATGTTTGGATAATTGGAAACAATAAAAGACAGAAGCACAGTTTTAATTTATAACATTTTATTTATAAACATACAGTATGCTATAAATCGCATTTAAACATCAAATGGATCTATATTTCAGATAGTGTTCAGGTGAATATTACAATAAATACAGAACAGACGTGAAGGTTTTCGTTCCCAGACTATCCTGTCTGAATGAGCTCCAGATCCCGCTATAAGAGACTCAGATGTTTCCGTTAACTAAATGAGAATAAAAAATAAAATACAAACCGGAACAGAAGCTTAAAATACTGCAGATCAGAGAGAGGAACCCGGAGGAGAAGCAAGGCTATAGACGCACTTCAGTTTGCTTTCATTCAGCAAATCATTTGGTTTTAGGCTTAAAACGTGCATTTATTTTTACATCCATAATATTTAACCGAGCTCTTCTCATACAAGTCCAAAAAAGAAAAAAGCAATCGACTTAAAATGTCCAGCTGGCAGCACAGATGTTTAGTTTTCATCACCAAATATTGCACAGGTGCTGGTTTGTGTTCATATTACCTCTAAAGATGCAACATGTACTGCTGATTTTTGTGTTTCTGCAATTGTATTAAATGAATCCTACCACTGAGCAAATGTCAAAATTACCTCAATATCATACAGAAGTCTATATCTCTCTAAAACAACATTCAAAATCAAAGGTCTCTCCTGCAGTATATATATTTCCAAATAGACAACACATGTGTTCCTTTGCACTGAGGAATCACAGAGGGGGGAGGGGGGTATGAAATTACGGTTGTTTTTAATGTAAAATAAGCAGTACTTGAACTGAAGTAAAGCAGATGTGAGGGAGGTCTGCAGTTTAAGGGTTAACATTTGGCCATAATCCCTCCCGACACCCCAAAAGAAATACAAATAAGGAGAAATGAAACACCATACAGCTGGTGTTTCCCTCCTGCATCACCTTGCTTTCCTAAGGCACATTAAAGTCCTGACTTTCAGAGGAGCAACCTGCTATGACCCAAAAGCACAGCGAGTCAGTTGTTGCCCTAAAGATGCAACTACGTCCATAATATGTGTTTATATATCAGAAGCTAATTGTATTCAGGGGAACAGAACAGAGTCACTGTGAGGGGTCAAAACACGGTGACTTACTGACAATATACATGTGTTTAGAGTGACCTTTACTGTCTGTCTACATGTTTCTGTATGTTTGTTTGAATCAAGTACTCGTTTAAAAATGGCACACAATTTGGTCAGAAGTAATATCCTTAATGTCTGAATCTTTAAATGTTAATTTCCCGACATGTCCCATTGCATGTCTACTGGGTCTCGAGCCAGGTGGCTATGTTGTAAGGACTGCCGATGGGCTCTGCACATTGGGCTGTTTAGCCACAAAAACACTCGTCCTACTAAACTGGAAGGAACGCAAACCAGCCTGCTTCACTTGGGACTCACGGCTGGACCTGCTGCACATGGAGCGTGCAGCTTCTCTGCTGGGGGGTTTGGAGGCGAGACAGGAGGATTACGGTTCACTGTCCGCAGCACTCCTATCTGACCCTGTCAATATGACATCTCCTGTGTAATGTCATGTGTATCCCCCCCCCCTTCCGTTATGTCTTGTTTAGTTGCTTGTTGTTGCGAAATATATATATATATTTTTCAGATCCAGTCTGGTTATAAAGAAATAAATCCATACTAAGCTGCCTGATCACATATTCAGTTTTCTTATCAATTAGGGGAGTCTTTATCCAAATGATGAATTCCTAAATAATAATGAGTAATATGTGATATACTGCATTTCCATCATATGGAATTTAATGTTTTTTCCAACTCGGAAAATGATTATGATTGGTAGTAAAAGACTTGAACACCACATTTTCTTATTGCGTGTTCACTGACAGCGTAGACGTTCACTTTATAATCTAGCTGTGTTTGAAGCATCTTATTGTGTTTGCTTTCAACATGGCCGCCGCCCCAGAGCAGTCTCTCTCGATGCATGATGAGACAGGTGGTGCGTTGACCAATCAAATGCTCTCGCATGTCAGATGACATAAACACCAAGAAGATATATATATATTTTTCAGACGTTAAGACTGTCCCCCGCTTCCCCCCCCCCCACGATGAGTGTTCATTGGTAATGGAGCTGCAGAGGATGCAGAGGATCCCGACACGCTGTGAAGGACATGATTTTGCAGAGAATTGGTTTGGAAACAGAGATGGGGTTTCTTCCGTGAACCGAGTGTGTTTTTCTGTTGAGCGTCACAACGTGGTTGGCTGTCCGGCCGCTTGGAAAGGGAAAGAGAAAATGATGAGACCCCGTCATTTATTTTATTAACCACAATTGTTTTGGAGGGTTTTAAAAAAGGTCAAGGACATGCAGCTCTAATGAAAGGGATAATGACTTCTGATTGGATTCTGTGGGTGGTGCTGATCCCCAAATGATAACAGCTGCTGAGGGGAGGGTCATGTGAGCGGTGTCTTTCAGAAAATGAACTTTTGTTCCTACAGACAAGGTGAAAGACAGAAAGTTACTGCTGTCCTCTCCCTGCTTCAGATCCAACCTTCCAGCCTCACTGTGCCTGACACTTCTTTATTAAAGGTGCACCGGGTCGGATTGCTATATTAAAATACACTCGTCTCATGAGCCACACAGCGGGGCTGCAATAAAGAATTTGGAAAACACCGTACACTTCTTTCTATCATAACAGTGTCAGGTTCACTCTGAAAACAATAAATCACAACAAACCTTTTTCTACCTGGTTTATGAGCGCCGTATTTACACCATCACCTTATTGGAAACTGCATTTATTCATCAGGCAAAATATGAAATACGGCTGACGTTAGCAAATAATAAGGAACAACAACACCTCACTCTTTTTATAATATTAGAAAATGATTAAACTCTCGTTACGAGCATCGTGCAGAGAGGTTATGCACATATTTCTGCTGGTTGTGCTTTTGGAAATTCCTGTTTTGAATGGATTTAGGGAATATGGAGACAGAATGAAAGAGGGGGAGACTAAAAAGGGAGAGATGGAGGACAGTTTGGGGGAGAGATAAGGGGGAGGTAAGTGGAGGGACTCACAGCGGGAGCGGGTGTAGCACGGGTGGCAGTTGAGGAGGCCGTTTCTGATCCGGACGTCCGTCCCCGTGGTCGTGTCTCCTAACAGTCCCTTACACACCCCGCACTGAAGGAGACAGGGACAGACGTTATGATTCATATGAGTTATATTCAGGTGAAAAGGACAAAATATAGCTATTGGGTATTTTATAGGTTTTTGACAAAGAAATTCCAATTAAGGAGCAAAACCAAAAATCTGTTTCTCAATATTCTTTCTTGCTCTTTTGGTAAGATTTGAAATATGCAAACATTTACCTTTGTTGAGTGTAACAGCCCAGACTGAAAGGTCAATTAGTTTGGGACTGTTTTTTAGAATATGCTCATTTTCACTTGTTCTATTGGCAGATCTTATTTCAAGTGAAAATGCACTGATCCAGCACCTATGCGGCTTATGAAATAGATATTGTACAATAGCTCTATGGCACAGAATCTTAAGCTTTGGGTACAATCCCAACACTTGAGTTTGTTAGTTGGATCAGTGCATTGTTGGTTTGTCTTTTTCCACGCATTTCATGATAACATAATAGACTATCATCCCTTTTATGCTGGAGGCTGCATTCACGAAAGATCTGCAATACAAAACCCCCAAATCTTGCCAAGTGTATGTGTCTAATATCTAGTCAGAATATGTCTCTACTCCTGGTATAAGACATAATAACGTCAGAAGTAACACTGCAGTGAGATATCAGGTCTTGTTTTTAGACAATGTTAAGTCAAAATATCTTATTTTGAGTCGTATCTCAGATGAAACTTGTTTTTTTTCACACATTTATTGGAAAATCTCCAACCGACATCAGAAAACAGAACACCTTTGAGCATTTGCGGCTTATATTGTAACAACATTTCCTGATTCTGGTGAAATATAGTTCAAAATGAGTTCTCCAGCTAATTACAAGATTTGATTTATCTAAATATCCCTTCTTATTCCAAGAACTCTTACCGAGCTCATTTTCACTTGTTCTATTGGCAGATCTTATTTCAAGTGAAAACATCTTGTTTTCATTATTGTTTAACTTGTTTTTGGAGCAGCTTTTTTTTCAAGTGTGGCGATGCAGTGATTAGCTGTGTCGTTGTGTGGCTGTGGGAGTGTCTCTTAAATGTCACATTTAGGTTAAGTGAGGTTGTTAACTTCATCCTGCCGCTGTAGCACATCTTGCCTCCTACGACCGCACTTGAAGGTTATGTCATTCATTCCACAGCAGATGAACAAGAAAAGGCCGTGCCATGTACTCGCCAATTTCCAGCTTGTTGCAGGAAATTCGTTATCAAGTTCCCAACAGAATCGCTCCAATGTTTCATTTGAGTTGTTTGTTTTGAAGTTGTTTTTGTCCCTAACAACAGTAAAGGGCAAGGATGCTCACTGGTCTCTCTCACAGACTCTCATGTGATTGATCAACGTAGCGCGACATAGGGCTGTGTTTCTCCAAAAGTTGAGTGTGTTTGAACTTTTCTATCACAGCTAGAACTCATACGCACAACGACATATTTGGGAAGTCTGGCGTATAAGTCTAAGCTCCGCCTACTCCATGTGAATAATGTCTTCTTACACAACATTCATATTGATAATGGATAATTAAATCATTCAGAAAAAGGACAGTGAATGTTCTGTCACTGACCTTAAAGCATTGGATGTGGAAGTACAGACTGAGGGTCTCTATGATCATGGCCGCCCCCTTCCCTAACGCCTGCCCACAGCTGGAGCACAGCTTCTTCCCACTGACAGACCTACAGAGAGAGAGAGAGACAGAACAACGAGAGAGACTGAAAACATGATATACGAGAAGGGACTTTAAATTGTGTACCGACTGAATATACACAGGGTATATGCAGGAAGTCAAATGTAAGACCTTTTAAGACCCTTTGCATAATTTTAAGACCTCAGCGCCACTTTGAGTTTTAACCGGTTACCTTGGCGACACACTTTACCTCACATTTACTACATACAGTATTGATTGTCCTTCCTCCTTATCTTCCAACCATTTGGACGCATACTTGCATTTCCCCATAACGATGTTGTTTAACAACCGGCGTAAACAGAATGTATTACCTGGAAAATGCCGTCTTAATACTTTTTAATAGCCTTAATTTTCGTTAAATTGAATTATATCAACTTTAACACTTTTAAAGACCCGGACACCTGAAAAAGCAGATTTTGCAAAAGAGCACAGCAAAAGAACCATCTTGTATTGCAGATGCATGTATTCTTGGGGTCACATTGCGTATGGCGCGGCCTCATTGATATGAATCCTGTTCACCTGGATGCTGTACGGTGTGTGTGGTAAGAGTTAGTGGGTTCGACACAGGACCTCTTTTTGGTTGACTGCAAGAATTAAAGATTTGCTCTTGGATCATGTGATTAGTCTAATGTCTGGATGTTGCTTGATCACGCGCGTATTTTTTTCATTAAACTACATTACAATTCAGAGATTTTTTGATCGCTAGCCAAATTACTCTGTTTTTAGCCGTGTCATACAATATCAAACATCGGCCCGGCCTCAGCCTTCGCGCAGCGACTTTGTTTTGTTTGTTTTCTGTGGTCGCGTAAAACAGTTTAGAAGGCAAAACACAACAAGGCTTCTTTTTCCAGTCCAGTTTATTAAGCTTTTATATCATTTTTTTGACAGTCAGGAAAATACAGATTGAAGTGAAATACACCATAATTCTATCTCTTTACCATGAAAAAAACATACAAAAAAAGAGTCAATACACAACACGTTTACACATGGCATCCACAGCTGTTTCCGGTCAGTTCCATTGGCTGGCTCCAGATTGTTATTAGACAGTATTGTTAGGTTCA